ATTTTCGTTTTCCTGCAACAGTCTTAGTAGAAACTGTGTAAGTATGGACCGATTTTTCCTAATGTGACGTGTAAGTATGCTACTATTTTCAGCATATATATTATAAAGAAATGTGAAAGTGATTAAAATGAGGTGTCAGAAAAACAACAAACTGTCATCGTTTCAACCAAACCTGATGAAGGACGTTTGGCCGAAACGTTGACATTGTTTTTCTTAATCAATTTCATAGTTTATGATTTAAGTACATTTTCCATTTAAATAACCTTGTGCAAATATTATGAACTCGTAAGTCACGTTTAGTCACTTTGTGTATATTAAAAATAATGTCTAATTATTAGTTATATTTATTTTTAATATTTAGTATTTAACAGTTAATTTTTTCGGATTGATGAATAGGCAGGTAAAATTCAAGTTTATGATGATGATATCATAGAGTCGGTAGACTATATTTAGGGATGTCCAAGATACTCAATAGGCACAATACAAATCTGCACACTAAAAAATCAACAATGACAGAGAGGTTGACTTTAAAAGATGATTTCCACTCACTTTCATTTGTTTCTCTACCCAAGAAGCCCAAACATATGGCAAGAAACCATCACTAAGATACCAAACCAGAAAGTGACCGACCCACCAAATTGTTCATCTTTCTTCTTGTTGTTTCAGTTGAGATAACTCTACAACTCTTCTATCACTAACACCAGTTTAAACCTAAATCCACTCTATGTGTTTCTGGGCAGTGCACAATGTCATCGCTTAGACTTAATAACTGGTAGTAATTAAAAGAAAATCATAATTCCACTGAAAACTATGTTATCATTACCCCCTGATGTTTGCTTTTTTATTGAAAAGCGATGTTACTTTAGAAAGCTTAAATTCAGGGTGAAACAGGAATTACCAGCCAATAATACATGAACATTAGATGACTGTAACATGTAGAATACTCAATGCTTTGTTCACTATACAATCGGTGTCTTTAGGGAGCCAACCCCTATATTATGTATGAAGTGAAGGAGTAAAAAAAAATCAATATACATAATATTCAATTTTATTACACACAATGATAAAATACACTAACTTTCAGTCAGTGAAAAAAGTCACTAAACAAGTAATAAAAAATTTTGTAAATGTAAAATGATGTAGGAATGGCAGTACCAAAAAGAATGTAAACAAGAATATAGGGATGATACAGCTATACGCATATCATCCCTACATGACTTTCAATATTAAAATTTAATGTTTCTCTGCAAAATGCATACTTGACTTTAATATTACTGGAGTTGGAATTTTTTTATCCTTGACTGTTGGTATGCAGTTTGCTTACCACAATATCATGGTCACGTCAGGGTAGAGATCAATGCAGTGTAACTAAGAGCCTAGGACTTACGTACAAGGAAAACCATGTCTTGATTATTACAGACTCTCGTTACGAGGTCGGTCGATTCGACCGACCTCGTAACCATTTTGTGCTTGTACATTTTACAGTGTAACATTAAATTTTAATATTAAAAGTCATGTAGGGATGATCTATATATAGCTGCATCATCCCTATTCTCTGGTTTACATTCCTTTTGACAATACCATCCTTACATCATTTTTTTATTATTTGTTTTTATATACAGGTATTGATTGTTTTATATACAAGTTACAGATGCGGTGATTTTTAACAGCAGTTATAGGCACATTAGACTACATAGTTGGATTTCCTTAATGTTGTTGTTTTTTTGCACAAAAATAGGTTAAATATCTCTGTTTTATTAAGTCCTCACAGAAACCAAGTATGTGCTAATTTTGAGCACTATGCTCCATAAACTATTCAGAATTCAATATATAAAAACTTTGTAACTGTCGTCAAACTAAATCGCAGCTAAGAAGCGCAACCACAATACGAAGCTATGACGTGATATGTCGTCAGGATAAACTCTCAAGAAAAGTCAATTCAAAACAGTACAAAACAGGTTCAGTAATATATAAACTCTCAAGATTAGAGCCAACTAGTTAATTAGTACATAAACTCTCAAGAACAGCTAACTCGGAACAGAACAAAACAAGTTCAGTAATATACAAATTATCAAGATAGGAGCCAACTAGTTCATGAATGCATAAACTCTCACTAATAGTCAATTCGAGAAATACACCAACTCGTTCGGTAATGCATAAGCTTTCAAGAACAGCCAACTCAAGACAGAAGCCAATAAGGTCAGTAGTGCATAAACTCTCAAGTATAGGAACCAGTTAGTATGCAACCGACAGTCAATACAGTCGTTTTAAAAATCTCAACACAGACTTCAACCAGAAGAGTACTACAAATAATTTATATAAATCAAAACTGGCTAGAGCATTGTGGAAAATCACTGGATGTGATAAATAACCAGTAAAACTTTTACAGGAGAATTATTCGAAAAATGGCGTAGTTTGGTGCTCTTTTTTTTTTCTCAAAAGAGGACAAGGTCGGCACAATTTTAAAAGCTAAAATAATTTTGCTCTCTAAAAATAATAAAGATAATGCTAGAATTTACGGTTCCATCCTCATATCGAACAAAGCGCAAAAATAACTCATTGTGCAAATTTATGCAATAACAATCTAAAGCTTACAAAAATAGGAAACTTTGGCTTTAAATACACACAAAGGGATTTAACTTCTCTTGGTATTTTGACTAAATTTGTTCCAAAAAAAGTAAGATTATAAATATATATGTACTACAAGTTGAGGTTTAACATTCCTATGATCGTTTTTTAATCGTTTGCGATACAAAAGGTACGAGATGAAAAAATGTATAAGAATTCTTCAGTAAAAATGGAAAATCCCGTGTTATATATTGTAATTCTCAGCTCTATTTCTCCCTATAGAATATCGATGATATGCTTCTAAAAAAAAACTGTGTTAACGTAAAAAATTACAGTGTATTTAACTGCCGAACAAGCTTTGAATACGGATCGTTTTGTGGCTGGTTCACACTTATTTCAGAAGGAAGCACCCTGAGTGAAGAGTAAATCTCTGGTTGCAAGGTGTATAACAAATTATATAAGGTTTCGGCCGAGCAAGGTTAAAGAGATTAGGAACACGATACTGCTATAGTCGGCACTATAACTGCAACGTTTCTAGCAGAAGGCCACTTGGCTCACGCTTTCCGTGGCATCCAAAGCAGCTGTGGTTTTGGTGGCTGGACAGTTTGTTAGACTGTATTTAAGAAGACCGGAGAAAGATTATGGAATAACGATTCCACATTGTAAAGAATTAAAGTCGCAAAGAAAGTTTGTTTTTCTTTTTATTTATTCTGTATAAGTGCAAAGCTGCATAATGGGCTATTTATACTGTGTCCACCCCAGGAATCAAACCCGAAATGTAGTGTTATAAGCCTTTATGCTTACCGATGAGCTATCTTGGGGGAGGGGAAGTTTATTCTTTGTTTGTTTGTTTTTTCACATTCTTAATAAATAGATACTCAAACACTATAGACATCATAAATGCACAAAAATTTCCACTTTCTTGCAAAACTGTGGAATCGTGATAATCACCACTAATCTAATATACAACGTTATTTTTCTTTTCTTTAGAAGTATATGAAGCTCTTGTCTTTTTCAATCATAATAAAGGAGTCATAATTAAGAAGCTAGATTTCATAGTTTCGATATCAGATCCCACTATCATTTTTATTGTTGTCTTGCGGCAATTTTATAAAGTACGAGAACGATACACGGGGCAACCTCACTCAGACAACAGTTCTCATTTCGTTGGCCCTATACACGTTTTCCTCAAGCCCAAGGGGAGCTGACAATTTCGTCTCCGCCACGATTCATCGGGCGGCTAAAAGTAAACAATACACTGCGGCGTTGCAATCGGAGAAGCTAGAAAGGTTGAAGAGCCCTGTGGCTATGCTGAACGGCGAGAATCATGCGTCACTCTTTTGTGATGCCGACGCCTTTCACCTGCTCAGGCTACTCCACCTTGGAGCTCCGACGAAATATTTTTTTCTTCCATTTGTCTACCTCGAAAAGAAGTGTGGACCCCCTTCGTGTGGGCCTGTTCTTCTAACGTGCTGAGGGGGTGCCCTGTGAGGGTTGTAAATCCGCCTTGTGCGTGACACAAGAAGATCCCAATGGAGAAGGAAGCCAGTTAGATCTTCCGTTGGTCCCGAGGATATATTTGTTAGAACACGGGGATCTTCAAATCAATCACGACATTTTGATGTACGCATGTGTGTGTGTGTGTAAAAATATATATATATCCTATTTGACGTACGTCTGTTAGTATTAAAACTCTGCTACCTGGA